CCTCTTAAAGAGACGGGTGGGCCAAAAGGCTGATCAGAGTAGGTTAAGAAGTAGATGGTAGTTTGGTGTGTGGATAGGAATAATGGCCATAGCAGAGTCTTTAGTTAGGTGAGGGGATAGCAGTCAGTGCTTAAGTGGAAATACTGACCTTTGGTAGGAAGGACGGTTTTTATTCAATATTTGAAACAGCAAGGTGGACAAAATATATGTTATATAAATACAGGTACGCTGAAGATGGAGAGACAAGGCAACTGAAGTGATTGGTTTCGGGTTATTTTTTAGCCCGTCTTTCTAAAGGTTCTGTTAATTATGATATGTAGAGTCTAAGGTTAATACACATTGTATGTTGAGAATATCTGCTCCTTTAAAACTGAAACAAAGGAGTTTGGAGATACTTTCTGAGAGAATGACGAGGTCATTTGCAGGGGTGAGGCAGACAGACTAGTGAGAACGTGCAGTACTCTGGAGCCCTTAAGTTCTGTGTTGTGTGAGGGTGACTCTGTGTAATGAATATGGGAAGGTGAGTTACAGGTGGTTGTAGGGGAAGGATGAGTTTCAGATGGATTTAGTCATGAAATCATAAGAGCCAGAGTGGACTTTTATGATAAGAGACCCCTTGGGAAATCTGATAAAAGCTGTGTACCTTCTCATTCCTCTTACCCGAACTGCACATATGCACAAAATTGTACATACAGATGCAAGGATTTGGGATTCTACTGCTAATCTATGAACCTTGGGAGTGGGGGACTGCGGATTAAGAACTTGCTAGAACAGGGTCAGCAAGTTACAACCACTGGCTATATCTGGCCCACTACCTACAAGCTAAGAATGCTAAGAATGGTCTTTAAAATTTTTAATAGTTGGACAAAATTCAAAGTAAGTATGTATTTTATAACATGAAAATTATAGGCTGGGCGCAGTGGCCTGTAATCCCAGCACTTTGGGAGGCCAAAGTGGGCACATCATCTGAAGTCAGGAGTTCAAGACCAGCCTGACCAACATGGTGAAACCCCATCTCCATTAAAAATACAAAAAATTAGCCAGGCATGGTGGTGTGTGCCTATAATCTCAGCAACTCAGGATACTGAGGCAGGAGAATTTCTTGAACTCGGGAGGCAGAGGTTGCAGTGAGCCAAGATTGCCCCACTGCACTCCAGCCCGGACAACAAGAGCAAAACTCTATCTTGAGAAAAAAAAAAATATATATATATAAAATTTACCTTTCTTGCCCATAAATAAAGTTTTGTTGGATCATAGCCATACTCGATCATTTACATCTTTTCTGTGGCTGCTTTTCCACCACAGTGACAGAGTTGGAGTAGTTGTAATAGAGACCTTATGGCCTGCTAAGAAAAAAAATATTTACCTTCTGGTCCTTTATAGAAAGTGTGTCAATTCTGACACTAAAATGTAAATTCCAAGGTACGGGTGGAGGAGAGGTTGTTGGGTTTATTTTGTCCACAGATTCCTCCCAAGCATGTAGAGAAGTGCCTAGCGCATAGTAGGCCCTCAATACATCCTGGTTCAAAAATAGAATAATGACCAGTCTTTTAATGTATGCTTAGGCACTATTCTGAGTGCTTTATATATAAAGCTATTTATTCTTCAGAACAGCTCTATGAGGAAGATGCTGTATTATCCTCATTTTACCGTTGAGGAAACTAGGCGCACAGAAAGATTACATAACTTCTCCCACAGTGGCATAGCTAAGACTTGACTAATTTTTTTTCTTTTGAGATGAGTTTCACTCTTCTTGCCCAAGGGGGTTTGCAAGGGCTTGATCTCCACTCACTGTAACATCTGCCTCCCCAGTTCAAGCGGTTCTCCTGCCTCAGCCTCCCAAGTAGCTGGGATTACAGGCACCTGCCACCAAGCCCTGCTAATTTTATATTTTCAGTAGTGACAGGTTTTCTCCATGTTGGTCAGTCTGGTCTTGAACTCCCGACCTAAGGTGATCTGCCTGCCTCAGCCTCCCGGAGTGCTGGGATTACAGGCTTGAGCCACCATGTCTGGCCAAAATTGATTGATTTTAAGCACTACATTATATGGAGGGCTGAAATCAAGTCTTAAGAAATGATAGAAAGCCGCAAAAGGATAGGAGTGATGAAACAGGGTAATGTAGCAAAGAATGAATACATTCTGCTGTAGTGTTGTTTACTGTTAGGCATTCAAGACCCTTGCCTTGGGCTGGGTGTGGTGACTCACACCTGTAATCGCAGTACCTTAGGAGGTCAAGGCAGGAGGATTACTTGAGCTCAGCAACGCTAGCCTGGACAACAAAGGGAGACTTCTACTTTAAAAAAAAAGTTAGGCTTGGTAGCAGGCTACTCAGGAGGCAAAAATGGGAGAATCCTTTGAGCTCAGGAGGTGGAGGCTGCACTGAGCCAGGATTGTACCACTACTTCAGCCTGGGTGACAGAGCAAGAACTTGTCTCAAAACAAAACAAAACAAGACCCATGGCTTGGTCAGTATTTCAGCATGTGCTCCTTATGTATCACCGTTCTCCTGTTTGATAATATCCAACTTCAATCTCTCACCTCTTTTCCAATTTTCCTGCCCTCTCTCCTTGACTCACTCCTCTGGCCAGACTAGTCTCCTGGCTGTTCTCCCTCCATACAGCTCTTCCTTCAGATATCTGTGACTCACTTCCTTGCTTTCTTCAGGTCTCTGTTAATGTTAGTTCTTCACCATCCTGTTTATACTATTTTGTTTTGGTTTTCTGTCCCCACCATTCTTCCCATGAGGTTAGGATCTTTATGTTCATCTCTGTCCCCAGTGCCTAGGCAAGCATCTAGCATACTAATCCTCAGTAAATATTTATTGAATGAATGAATTTGTAAACTGATTTCCAGCAACACTGAGTTATCTTGTGTGCCCCAAGCCGTCTGACTTAGCTCGTACTGTTCGCTTTGCCTGGATCTTCTTCTTCCAGTTTTGCCTGGTGAAAATACACCCATAGAAACTCAGATGAAAAGCTGCTTTCCTTTATAGCTGTTCACTTAACAGTTTTTCTGTTGCACATTTGTAGTCTCATATTTACTTTCTTTGGGACAACCAACTTCTTCCTCCTCTGTTGGCATGTGCATATCCAGAGAATTTTGGTTCATTTTATTTTGTACCAGTGTCACTTTCAAAAGCTTAATTAGGCAGAAAACCATCCTAGAGCAATGATGTCTTTGGAGTTAAGGTAAAATAAACTTCAGAAAAGCTATCAATATTTTTTTTTTTTTTTTTGAGACAGGAGTCTCACTCTTGTTACTCAGGCTGGAGTGCAGTGGCTTGATCTCGCCTCACCACAACCTCCGCCTCCCAGATTCAATCAATTTTTCTGCCTCAGCCTCCCAGGTAGCTGGTACTACAGGTGCACACCACCACGCCTGACTGATTTTTGCATTTTTAGTAGGGTTTCACTGTGTTGGCCAAGCTGGTCTCTAACTCCTGACCTCATGATCTGACCACCTTGGCCTCCCAAAGTGCTGGGATTACAGGTGTGAGCCACTGTACCCAGCCAAACTATCAATAATTTTTTTAACTCTAGCTTTATTTTAAAAAATTGATGTATAACTTACATGCAGTGAAATCCCAATTGTACCATTTAGTTTTGACAAATGTATAGCAAGACAGCATTTTTACCACTCCAGAATGTTCCTCTCTATTCACCTGCTGAGCTTTCACCATTGGTTTGTTTTGCCTGTTCTGTAATTTTATGTAAATTGGATAACACAGTGTATACTTTTTTGTTTGGCTTTTCCACTTAGTGTAACATTTTTATATTCTTCCATGTTGGGTCAGTAGATCATCCATTTTTATTGTAAATAGTATTCTGTGATCATACTCCATTAAGAAATAAAATAAATAAGAAAAAAATATATATTGTGAATAGTATTGCTCTGTATGAAATCAATATGTCACAGCCTATTTATTCATTCTCTTCTTATGATGGACTCCCCATCAGCATTGTATTAGAGTTCATTTGCTCCACATCCTCTCCAGCATTTAATGTTGATAATCTTTTTAATTTTAGCTGTACTGTTGGCTGTATAGTAGTATTTCACTGCAGTTTTGAGTTTCATTTCACTGATAAGTAATGTTGAAAACTTTTTTTTTTTTTTCTTTTTCTTTTTCTTTGACACGGGGGAGGGAGTTTCTCTCTCACCCAGGCTGGAGTGCAGTGGTGTGATCTCGGCTTACCACAACCTCTGCTTCCTGAGTTCAAGCAATTCTTCTGCCTCCACCTCCCGAGTAGCTGGGTTTACAGGCAAGTGCCACCATGCTCTGCTAATTTTTTGTATTTTTAGTAGAGATGGGGTTTCTCCATGTTGGTCAGGCTGCTGTGAAACTCCTGACCTCAGGTGATCCACCCACCTCTGTCTCCCAAAGCATTGGGATTACAGGTGTGAGCTACTGCACCTGGCTATTGAGCACTTTTTAATGTGTTCAATTTTTTGGCCCAATTTTAATTGGATTTTCTTTTTATTGATATACAGGAATTTTTTTATTTACTCTGGATAGAAATCCATTGTCAGATATGTGTTGTGAATTTTTTTTTTTTTTCCAGTTCATGGCATGACTTTTCATTTTTATTTTTGGTTTATGAGGGGTTTTCTTTTTGTTTGTTTTTGAGACAGGCTTACTCTGTTGTTTGGGCTGGAATACAGTAGAACTCTCAGGGCACACTGCAGCCTCAGCCTTCCTGGGCTCAGCTGATTCTCCCATCTCAGCCTCCCAAATAACTGGGACTACAGTCATGCACCATCATGCCCAGCTAATTTTTCTGTTTTTCGTAGAGATGGGGTTTCACCACCGTTGCCCAGGCTTGTCTCCAACCCCTGGGTTCAAGCAATCGGCTTGCCTTGTCCTTCCAAAGTGTTGAGACTATAGGTGTGAACTACTGCTCCCAGCTATGGTGTTTGAACAGAAGTTTTTTATTTTGGAGAAATCCAATTTATCAATTTGTGCTTTTTTTTGGAGACATAGTCTCCCTCGCTCTGCCACCCAGGCTGAAGTGCCAGGCTGGTCTCAAACTCCTGACCTCAAGTGATCTGCCTTCCCAAAGTGCTGCGATTACAAATGTGAGCCACTGTACCTAACCTCTGAGAAATCTTTGCCTACATTGAGGGTATGAAAATAATTTGTTTTCTTCTAGTAGCCTTATTTGCGTTTTAAGTTGAATTATGTGAACCATCTGAAATTGATTTTTGTGTGTGGTGTAACAGTGAGCTGCTGCTTTTTTTTTTTTTTTTTTTTTTTTTTTTTTTTTTTTTTT